GTCACAGCTTAATGACCTCATTTGGAGATGCAAAGGAGATAAGTAGCTCTTTGGAGGGCAGATACCCTCACTCCCAGTGAGATATTCCTGTTGACAAGACACAGGAACTACGCTAGAGCCCTGGAGAGCTGGAGGAGCCATGTGGAGACCCCTGTCAGTGCTGAGATGCTTCCACTGCCACTGGATCCACAACACTTTCACCCACTGGCCTGTGATCTTCCTGCATTCAGCATCATTGCATGTGTTGCATGAGTCTGAAGAGGAATTTATAGATTAGGATCAGACATATGAACTAATATCAGACTTATGGACTTGATCTGCACTGGGCTGGCATATTTTCTCAATATTCAATTGCTCTTGTATATAAAGCTCTTTCTTGTTCACATATGAGTGTCTGTAAATTTATATCTCTTGTCAACCCAGACTAACACAGTCCTCAAAGTCACATCTTTGCTCATTAACACTTTAAAGAGGTCTTGTGCAGCAGATTTGTCCAATTTGTCCAATATGTCATTGGATTTCTTGCCTTCTTTTCATGATTGCAGATCTAAATAAAATTAAATCCTTGACAAAAAAAATGTTTTATTTTGGCATTAATGAAATATTTCAAATAAACTTTATGTGTTGTTATAATGCAGTGAATTATTTAATATTGTTCTTCTAGCCATAGGCTTTGTTACTCCCATCAAATGACTTTGTTTTCCTGATGGGTCTGGGTAAAATTAACTGGGCAAAATTTGCTCTCTAGAAGTAGAAATAGGGACAAGATTTCTACCAAGAGTGGAAGCAGAAATGAAGCAAGTCTCTTGGACCTTGAGGTAACAGTTTATTCAACCGCTTGACCCAGGAGACAACTGTGCTACAAAGGGATGGCAAAGGAGCAACGGTGGTTCACTGGGCAAGTAAAACTGAGAATTTTGAGCCAGAGTCTATCTTGTGGAGTGATTTGCCTCTGGGCCCTTAATGGAGGAGCTGGGTTGCTGACCATGAAATAAGAGTACCTCTGGGTTGAGATTTATAGTTGTGTAAGTTGCCTCAAGGCAGAGGCCAGAACAAAAAGCTCAGAGTTAGAGAGAATGGCCTGCCTGCCAGCTTAGGAGAGGCAACATTATCCTGAATGAACCACTGTGTCCTGAGCATTGCTTCTCTGAATTGTAACCTGTTAGCGTCCTCAACAAAACCCATAATGGTGAGTTCTGCCTGTGAATTCTGTGTGACCATTGCAGTGACTTATCAAACGCAACTGACAAGTGGAGAGTGCTGTGGAGGAACAGGTGGTGCTTGAACAGGTAAAGAAGGTTGGAGGCTGGGGGAGGTCTGACCTTACCCTCATAAGAATTGGTCTAGCTGATGCTGATGATTTTTATTCCTCTGTGTAACTGGAGTAGGTCATATAACTCCCCCCGTCCCTCGTAACTGTAATGATAATTACCGTACAATATGAGGTTTAAAGTTATACATCTAGCATGAATATATTTTCCTAAAGAATCAGTAAAACTCTTTAAGTTAGTGTGCCCAAAGAATAAGGATTATGAATGAATCCTATTTGTAATTGATAAATTTTTAAATGAACAAATAGAAACACAAAACATACATATAGTCAGAAATATATATTAAATATATTAAGGCATAGCAAAACTTAGGATAAACTACAAATTTAACATAATTAATACTAAGGAAATCCTTAAGATCAAGGACCTTGTTGAAAATGTCTATGCCTACCTTTTCATAGGAAGGAATAACCCCTTTCATTCCCTGTCTTTAGATATATTTTTAATTTATTTTTTGTTGGGAGTAATATATATATATGTATGTGTATATATCATATCACTCCACAGTTCAATCATGTCAAGCAGTATTACACAAACGCTACCACAGTTTCCAAATCTTCTTTTCCTACCTGAACTCCTTAACACGCCCTTTTCCCCACCCCTCACCACCACCATTCCACCCCGCCCTGAAACCCTTATTCTACTTGCTGTCCCTATAGGTTCATCAATACTGAAAGTATTTCATACACTGAAAGAGAGACAAACCTGATCTTTCTAATTAGGAAATAAACCAACTGTGATTAGCTCATTTCCTTTCTCCTCTTATAGTTTTTCAAGCTTAATATTGCACAGCGGGACAGATGGGAATCAGAAATGCAGGGAATCTCGGACAGATGAACCTCTCAGGACCAGGGGCGACAGTGGTGATACCAGGAGGGAAAGGGGGTGACGGGGTAGAAAGGGGGAATGGATCACAGGGAACTACATATAACCTACTCTCTGGGGGACGGGCAGCAGAAGGGTGGGTGAAGGGAGACGCCGGACAGTGTAATATAAGATACAATAATAATTTATAAATTATTAAGGGTGCATGGGGGAGAGGGGAGGAGGAAGGGATGGGGAGGGGGAAAAAAGGAAAATGAGCTGATTCCGGGAACCCAAGAGGCAAGCGAATTTTGGGAATATTGAGGGCAACAAATGTATAGATGTGTTTTATACAATTGATCTATGTATTGTGATGAATTGTATGAGCCCCAATAAATTGATAAAAAAAAATATATTGCCCTGATCTTTCTAGCCACTTCCAACTTTTAACACACCTTCTCCTTTTCATCACAAAAGTGCCATCTAAAAGTTATTTAGGGCTTTCAGGGATGGCCAACAGTAACATAAGAAAGGGAAGCTACGTATACGACTTCCCTTCTCTGAAAAAACCTGAAATAATGCTATTCAAGTTGCTCAGACATTAGATGGAGTCCCATTCTATGCATCCCCACTGTGCAGTTTACTGTTAAGTGTGTGAGAACAAGATGGATTCTAATGCCTGGTGCCCTGAGAGACACTATTTCTTTATTTGACTGAGAGAACATCCTTCAACTATTGGCCAAACTAGGAAAGGAATCAAGTCCCATGAAAATTGATGAACAAGATATTCTTGAGAAAAGGTGGCTGATCCTCTGGTCACAGCGTACATGTGTGCAGTTGGGAGTAAAGTCTCTCAGGACTTTCCAGAGCTGATGAAATTCTGGTCAACAGGGGAAATTATGGACAAAACATGAACCGGCAAAGAGAACACACTTCCTTTCCACCTGTGACATACACCTGCTGCTTCTCAATTCTGAGTGAGTGCAGACTTTGCAACGGGGACCCAAATCAGGTGCAGGTGATATGATAAATTTGGCAGCGAGAGCACATGTAAAGCTCATGAGATTAGACATAGAAAAATTCAAAATCATAAACATAAAAGTATTAATTTTTTTTTCATGGAGTCTGCATTGAAATTCTTGGGATGTTAATTCAGGAACAGACAAGATGGGCCAGAGAGTGTGCCTGGGAAGATTCTGTGGTGAAAGGCAGTTAGTTTGTCATCAGGGGAAAGAAAAGGAGAAATGAAGCATGAGGACCATCAATCTTAGTGATTTTAAATCTGGAAATATAGGAGGGGACCCCAAATATTTGTGGAAAAATTCAGCTATCTTTAATTTTGCTCTTCTGAGAACTTCCTGGAGCTCTATCACATCATCAGAAAGAGGAAGTATTGTTTGCCAGGAAGCTTTACATCAATTTACTTGAGGTCTTTCTGAAGGTGACAATGACTAGGCATGTAGACATGGAAAACCCATAAGAATACTTACAGCAGATGCCAGCAAGTTACAGTACAGAATTCTGTTGAAGGAGTGGGATTTGGTGGAAACAGCTCCAAAATTTTTCAGTTTTGAAATTCATAGGAATTAAGGTTCTTGGGAGTGAGAGATCCTAGTGTAATGTTGTGGATGATGATTTGTGGGGAATATTTTAGATATAGTTAGGACAAAACCACATGCAGAACTTATAGATAAGGTTGATTTAGATGTAAATAATCACTTAGATAATCTTTTTTCTTATTTTAAAAATAAGTATTCATTGATGCATACTTTCATGAAACCTACGAATTAACTTTAGTTTTATGCTAGTATATAGGTCTACTGGAAAGGACTAAATATTTCTATCACAATAAAAATATGATCTTGAACTATGTCCTAGAGGAAGCCCAGTCTCTCATATATTTTGTGTCACTTTTTCCAGAAGCCATGAATTTTCTTCTACAGTAAGAGGAGTTGATTTCTAGATAAAGATTCTCCATTGAAACAGATTTCAAATGGAGATTCAGACTTCCGAAACCATTCACCTATCTTTAACCTCTACAAAGGTGTCATGGAGCACTATTGTTTTCATTGTTCTGGATGAAAACAGAACAGTTCTCCTCTTCTGTAAGATGTATAATTGAATTCACTTAACTTTAACAACTACTGGTAAAATCTTAGCATTGTTCTGGCACCCATCTATGCAGAAAAGGACATGTCTAAGGACCTTGAATATAAAGCTAGTTATTGAAGCCTTTGTCTCTTAATTCTGACCTACTTGGTTTGAACAATAGAATTATTGTTCTATTAATAAATCGCAATACTTATCAAGATGGGGTCTAGCTCTTGCTGCATAAACAATCTTGGTGAGAGAGGAGTTTTAATGGGAGTCACAGCCCTAGAAAGAGGTGTTCTACTAACTAACATATCAGTGAAGTGTTGACATGTGATCCTGGTGAAATTAGTAGAAGAGTGGCGATAAAGGCATGGGGGGATTTAAAATTAACGCTCTATTTCTTAAGTCTCATTTCCAAATAATATTTTTCCTTCATTTCCATGAACAGGCTAGAGACAGAAAGAGAAGCTGGAACGAGAGAGTAAAGAGAACACCACTAAACATAATGATCACATTGATATCATCAAAGAGATCATTTCCAATAATATTTTTACAGATCTTATATCACCACGGGTAGGTAAACACTAGTGAAACTTTAAATAGTCTCCATAATTATATGATCTCATTCATTAAAAAAGGAAGAAATAATGAAGTTTATTCTGCTAATTCTCTTCTCAAATTAACTTTGTGATTCAGTCAGAATAAGATATGTACCATTACAGAGTATCACGTATTTTAAACATTTTCCCTTAAGAAGATCCCTGGATTGCCATGCCTATTCCAAATGACACTGTATTTATGCCTTCTATATTAACATTTGTAGGAATACCTGGTCTAGAACCAGTGCAGTGTTGGATTGGGATTCCATTCTGTGCTATGTATATTATTGCTTTGATTGGAAATACTCTACTTGTGATCATCATCAAATCTGAACGCACCCTCCACGAGCCCATGTACATCTTCTTGGCCATGCTAGGTGCCACAGACATTGCACTGAGCACCAGCTTTGTACCCAAGATGCTTGGAATTTTTTGGTTTCATTTGCCAGATATCTATTTTGATGCATGTCTCCTTCAGATGTGGCTCATCCACACATTTCAGGGCATTGAATCAGGTGTCTTGCTGGCCATGGCTCTGGACCGCTATGTGGCTATCTGTCATCCCCTTAGACATGCTACCATATTCACTCCTCAAGTAGTGACTCATATTGGAATTGGGATGACATTGCGGCCTGCCATCCTCGTAATCCCGTGCCTTCTGCTCATAAAGTTTCGCCTGAAGCTATACCGAACCAAAATAATATCCCATAGTTACTGTGAACATATGGCTGTTGTGAAGCTTGCCACTGAAGATATTTTTATCAATAAGTTCTATGGTCTCTTTGGTGCTTTCATTGTTGGTGGGTTTGACTTCCTTTCAATCACCCTTTCCTATATCCAGATACTTATCACGGTTGCTCACCTGCCCCAAAAAAAGGCTCGTCTTAAGGCATTCAATACATGTGTTCCCCACATGTGTGTCTTCTTCCAATTCTATCTCCTTGCTTTCTTCTCTTTTTTCACTCACAGATCTGGAGCTCATATCCCATCACACATACATATTACTTTGTCCGTCCTTTATCTACTAGTTCCACCTTTCTTCAACCCTTTTGTCTATGGGGTGAAGACCAAGCAGATTAGAGAGCAGGTAACAAAAATGTTCTCTTTCAAAGACCAGGTTTGACATTCCATTAAAATTGTTCTTTCTATGAATTTAATGGCACATCTTGTGACCCTATGTGATCTGACTCTCCCATCAATATTGGTGGATAAAACTATGATTTTAATAGTAAGTGAATCAAAGAATTTTAAGGAATTCTAAAGGTTTTTGACTTCTGAATGAGGAAAACTTTGATATCTGGTCAATTATATTAACATGTAAGCAGTAATAAGATTATAAACAATATTTTTCTAAATTTACTTTTGATGTTATTCCTACCTCATCAAACAATAACCAAAGGAAAGATTTGGAAGTCTAAAAAAATATGAAGTAGATACTCTACAGGCTGGGGTTCTTGCTATATTGGTTTCCTGAAGAATTTTCTTTTAATTTAAAGAAAATTAATATTATTTTCCTTACATTTCTTGAATAAACTTAATTTGTAAGATGTCATAATTGAGGGCAAGTAGCCTAGTTATTGCCAAAAATATTTTTGGCCATAAATATTTTATAGAAAATACAGATATAAACTTGTCATGGAAAATCTTTGAGAATATTATTTCATCTCAGGCACTATGGAAGGATGTATGGCCTCTGGAATGAGACAAAGCTGTTCTCAAAACTTTATTTTACCTCCTGTATATGCTGGGCCTTGAGAAAACATTTTATGGTCACAGATTCAGCTGTCTCTACTCTGAAGTATGGAAAAAGGGAAAAAATAGCCTTATAACGAAGCAGAAGTCATGTTTACTGCTAAATCGTCAAAGATTTGTATAACTTTTCCCATAGAACTTTATAACTTATAGTAATTCAATATGGATAAAGTATTTTCTCTGCCATAATCTTTATTGTTGTTTCCATCATGAAAATCACCATGCCTGAGGAAAACTTTGATGTAAATATTGTGCCTCCACTTCTATATAGTATATAGAAGTATTGAAATGTTTCACAAAAAAGATGAATTGAAGATTTGTGATTCACTCATTCTTTGGTAAACTTTTATAAAAAGGTGTTTCATGTTCAATTAGAAGGATTTTGAATTCTCTAGTTTTAACAGAAGCAGTGAAATATATATCTTTATTTCCATGTTTGTGTATTTCTTCATTTGAGTGAATATTGTCAAATTCTATTGTACTTTTTATTGGAATGTTTTATTTATGGTAATACTACAAAGATTATATCTGTAATTACACAATAAATAAATGTTATATTGTATTCTAGTGTTACTCAAAAAGAATTTACCGCCGGTTATATATATTTCCCTACGAACTCAAAGTTCATATGAAATTTAGTACTGGAACAGTAAGTGAAGGTTATTTTAAAACCACAAAATGCATCATATTTTCTCTAGGAATACCTCTGGTGTACCTGAGACTTCTCACAATTTTTACATTTCAGCTGTAAAGACAACACGTGTAAACCTAATCTTATTGTTTTCCAAGTAAATATTTCAATGAATTTACCCACTTGGGCTAGGGTCGAAAGAAGTACATATAATATAAAAAAATTTTTTATTACCTACAAATTCAATTTGAGACCAGTTTTGCCATAGGGCATTTCTAAACTTTTAGGTTAAATTTGTTACTTTTATGTGATTTATCATAAATAACCTGGGGTTTGCATTTGAACATACAATAGATGTGGGGGGGAAAAGTAAGTCAAAATATATTACTACAAAATCATAGAAAACTTTATTAAACAAACATCAAAATATATAGCAATTGCTCTATCTAGTGTATACTCTCCTGAAATAAGGGTTTCTAGCTCTTACCCTTCTTGAAGAATTCTATCCTCTTCAATTTGTACCATTTCCAAATAACATTTTGACATTCTCTATGGAATCAAATTTTGTTCCTTTTAAACATTGAGTATGGGGAACAAAAATATATCTTACAGGACAAGATTGGGCTGTTGTGTGGATGGGCTAATTCTTCCTAATGAAATGATTGTAGGTCTGAACTTGGTCTCCTGGAAGAATGAGCAGAAGCATTGTCATGATGGGATAAGAAAAATTCTTAGAGAATTATTCCTGGCCTTTTGCTCACCAATGTAGTTCTCAATTTAAAACAAAACCCAAAAAAACCCACTTCTTCCTAAGACGTCCCATAGTTGTCCTGATAAAAAATCTACCCGGACTGTCCAAAGGAATTGCAAAAGGAGATACCATAGCTTTCTAAACTGACCTCTCTGCCTAAATTCCACTGGCCTGCAAGAGGCCCACAGAATCCACTGTATGAATGGACTTTGTTCTCTGGATTGGTAAGGTCAATACACAAACCATGCCTAGTTTTAATTTCTTCCATAAAATAATTTTTGTTAGCTTTGATATTACTTGGTACATAGATGGAAAGTTCAGTTATTCGAGCTAGCAGCTCTTTGTGAAATACTTTTGGCATCCATTGAACTGAAACATCATTGAAACTAAATATTTGCTTATAATTGAAAATGTCTAATGATATGTGATTTCAACTTCAATAACTATTGCATCAATTGTAGTTTTATGTTCTTCTTCCATCAATTTCTGCACTTCAGCCAGTTTCTTATTGCGGTCTTCCCATCTTCAAAAAATCAAATCAAAACTAAGCAAAAATCCCTTCCAAACTCACAGTCTTTCAGTGGTTTAGGACTCAAAATAACCCTTAGGCTGAGCAGAGTTGGCCACATTGGTTTCAGAAGATGTAAATGTTTATAGGAGCAGAAAGGCTTATCTTTCTCCTCAGGAGTAACCTGTTGCTTTGAATTGCTGACCTTGTAGTTAGTAGACCAATACATAACCAACTATGCCACTAGGGAATCATTTAAAATGCTAAATCCATCTAAAGCCTGTAGTTCTATATGGGGCAGCATTCCCACAAACTTTTTGCAAAGCTTCGGTGATTTGAGGAGATGTCCACTTAAATTCATAATCATTTTTATATAAAACAAAAAGTGTCCTTTAATTTTTTTTAAGATATCCTAATAAGACTAACAGGAGCCCTGGTGGCACATTGGTTAGGCATTGAGCTGTGATTCACAAGGTCAGCAGTTAGAAGCCACCAGCCTTTCTGTGGGAGAAAGATGAGACTTTCTATTTCTGTAAATTGTCAGTCTCAGAAACTCACAGGGGCAGTTCTGACTTGTCCTAGTGGGTCACTATGAGTTGGCACCACTCGATGGTAGTGAGTTTCTTGAGTAACAAGGCTACGATTAAGTATATTACTCAAAGCAATTGAATGTAGCCATCTCTATATCGCAGAGACATGGTTAAACATGTTAGCTTTGGAATAGACCCATGCAATATATGAACTGCAACAGCCATGATAACAACATCTTGTGTCTTACCTTTACGGTTATCTAGTATAAGATATCCTCCTCGTGCCTAAAAGGAAAAGGTAAAAATAAAATCAAACCGACGAGAGAGAGAGAGAGAGAGAGAGTCAGTTTGATTTTATTTTTATTTAAGATATATTTTATTTTTATATAGCATATACCTAGAGAGAGAAAAAGTCAGTTCGATTTTATTTTTATATACTATATATCTAGAGAGAGAAGTCAGGTTGAATGTGTGTATATATATATTAACATATAAATATATGTGTGTGCATATTCATATAAACACACACATTTATATGGTTGTTAGCAAATATACTCGTGTATAAGCTGAGTTTTTCAGCATATTTTTAATGCAGTTTTAGTGGTAAAATTAGGTACCTTGGCTGATATTCAGGATGGTAAATACTCAAGTATATACAGTATTTGTCAATCACTTGAATTCTACTTTCCTATCCATATACAGAATAGAACTGGACCATAAGGTTTTCAGGATTGTTACATTTGGTAAACCCTTTTTTCTGAGGTATCATTAAGTGAATTTGAACTGCTAGCCTTTTAGCCAATAATCCAGTGTTTAACCACTTGTGCCACTCCCTAGGTATATACCGATAACTATATATAAGCACACATACATACATAAATTTGTATGTATTTTGCACATTTTTCATTAGGAAATAGCTATTTTAAATTATAAATGATCAATTTAGTTATAAATGATTTGAAATAAAATCAATGAGGAAACAATATTTTGATTCTGATAATCCATAAGTCAGTTTTATTCAAACTCTTTTCACAGTTACTGGTTGGGCATATTTCACTCTACTATGTCTTCCAAGGAGTTTTGGGTTGTTTTTTTTTGTAATATATAAATTGAAGGAACACTTGCAATATAAGATGTTCTGAAAGTAAACATAGAAAAACGTTCTCTTATACATACATACAGAGCAAAAACTCAACTTATAATATATTTAGAGTTCCAGAGCTTGCTATATTTTGGTTGAAGATGGGAAGAGCAGTACTCCACTGAGCTGCTGAAAAAGTTATAGTGGCCTCAGATTCTAGAGTATATTGTACACTAAAACATTGTGGTGGATGCAGATGTCATTGCATATTATGGGGATAATTTATATTACAATGAATAGCACCATTGAATGTAAAACACCTCCTTCAACCCCTTATTTCAAATTCCCAAATAAACTTGAATAAGCGTAACAAGGACGAGCTATATATAATTTACTTCCCTCTACTGTAAGTGGAGCTGGGTAATTAACAATATTTTGCAAGTTGGATCTTTAGGAATTTTGGTACAGGGAGAAATAAGTGGTGGGAGACACAGGGCAAGATAAGCAAGGAAGATTAAGTCATGGAGGTGTGCATGCAGGATGTGTGGTAGTAGTTGTAAAACACAAGAGTCACAAACATAAATTCAGTCTGGTTTTTTAATTTGAAAAGCAAAATGCTTGTTTTCAGGAATATAGCTACTAAAAGAGAAAGTGAAAGGAAACACATTACACGTTAACTTTCACAATTGACATCTGGGTAAAAAAATACTTTCAAATCTTAATTCTCATTGATAGAATTTTACATTCCTTGAATGTAAATATTTGACCACATTTCTTCTTCCTTCTTTGGAGTTTAACTGCAGTAAGGCTCTGTAATCACCATGCTGGCCTCCATCATGATGAGTGTGCAGGTAGGTTTTAAGTGACGATATACAAAAAACAAACAACAAATAAAAACCTGAGGTTGATACCATGGCTTAAAACTATTTTTCTATATAATTTAACATACATGTTGAGAAAGCAAGAATGAAACTAATTTACAGCTGGATTTGATTATGTAGTTGAATTCCCTTACTTTACAGAAAGGCTGTGACTGAGCATATATATTTAAAAGATTCTTAAAACCTTAATTCTACCCTCAGACTAAATAGTCATGTTTTATTTAATAGCTCTTTGCCTCAGCATCTTCTCCTTTAAAATAAAGGGGTTAAAAAAGTTCATTTTAAAATTCAAAGTACGCTAACATAAACCTGAAATTAATAAGACAGTTTTATTGAATACTTTAAACTATTCTGCCTTCACTTTAGTGCACAATTCTGTGTATGTTGGGAGTAAGGAGACAATGTGAAGAGGCTCAGTTACAGTATGAATCATATTTGATATTACGTTATATATTCTAATCCAGCAATATCAGATATAACATAGAACAGGGTAGAGTTTCAGAAACTTGTTTTCAATTATATGTAGAAAATATAAGGATGACTCTAATAATGTTCATTTTTTACACATGATAAGAATATGCATAAAATGTGTATATTGTAAATAATAAATACAAATATGAAAGTTACATGCAGAAATAAAACCACACCCTAAATGAGAATTCAGAAAACATGAATTCTACAAATTTAGTAATTTTCTAAACAGGGGGTAACTGGCACCACATTGAGTACTTTGTTAATATTATTCATAGTTCTAAAATAAGGAATCAAGCTCAGTAACTCTTTTTCTTCTTATTTCTGGTGTGTAAAGGACTAAATTAGGAAGGAAGTATAGATTTGCCTTTAACCTATAAAGCATTGCATAAAAGTCAATTATTATTGCTACAGAACATTTATGCATTTGCCATTCCTAGTACAATTACTAGCTTTGCTCCTCTAGAACTCAGTTATTTTTCAGAGTGAACCATCTCTTGATCCTGCTACGGATTTGCTGAGTCTTCACACTATAGATGATGGGGTTCATCAAGGGAGGAAAAAGAATATAGATGTTACCCATAAGAACATGAACCACAGGAGAGAGGTGCTTCCCAAAGCGGTGTACCATGGTCAGTCCAATTATTGGAATGTAGAAAACCAGTACTGCACAGAGATGGGAGACACATGTTTGCAATGATTTGAGCCTCTCCTCCTGGGATGCAATAGCTAAGACTGACTTCAGGATCAAGACATAGGAAATGAGGATAAGCACAGAATCTAGAAAAAGTGTGCAGATTACCAGTGCTAAGGCATAGAAACTGTTGAACCGAATGTCAGAGCAGGCCAGCCGTAGCAAGTCTTGATGCAGACAGAATGAGTGAGAGAGAATGTGGGGACGACAGTAATAGAAGAACTTCAGTCGGACAATGGGAGGAGAAATGAAAAGGAAACTCCTTCCCAAAATGGCCACACCGATTTTGATGATTCTGGCATTTGTGAGAATGGATGTGTATCTCAGAGGGTTGCAAATTGCAGTAAAGCGATCAAAGGCCATGGCAAGAAGCACTCCAGATTCCATGCATGAGAGCCCATGGACAAAGAAGGTTTGAGCAATACAGGTATTCAGTCCAATCTCTTGGCTGAGCCCCCACAGGATCCCCAGCACTGTGTGCACTGTGGACAGTCCCATGCACAGGTCAGTGAGGGCCAGCATGGCCAGTAAGTAGAACATGGGCTCATGCAAGCTTGCCTCGGTCCAGATCACATGAAGGACCAAGCAGTTCCCGGCGAGTACCATAGCATAGATACAGGAGAAGGGGATGGAGATCCAAGGATATTCCTTTTCCAGGCCAGGGAAACCCGTGAGGAGGAAGGTGGAGTTGCTGATTTTGGAATCAGACCAAACAGACATTAATGACTAGAAACAAAACTCTCTCAAGGAAAACTGTATGTTGTGATTGATTAGGAAGTGACTACACACCAAGAACAATTAAATTACCTTAATATCTTATTGAGTATGAGACCAATACTTAATTTGCTCTGAAACAGACAGGAGATTCTTGTAGGTTTGCTAATGAAAACTCTTTGTCCTTAGCTTTCTGACTCACCACAGGAATCAAGGGCCATATCCGCACCACCTCTTTACTTTTACATCAATGCCTTACATTTATCAGAGCAAAGTTGGTTTGAGCTTCAGGACATATAATAATCAAGTTTGAACCTGAAAAGCAGAAGAAAACAATATAACAAAGGAAAAACCTTTGGTTGTTCCTATCTCAAGTTTGGGAAAGAAATCACAAATCAAGTGTATGGGATCTGAAACTTACCTCTAGTCTTACATAAATCATTTGAAAGAGTCATTTCTCAGCATGATGACCATTCTGATATGTGTATTTCAAGAACTTATTAAAGAAAGACTGGAACTCACAGTAAAAATGTTTTTGCTAACCTTGAACATAAATCCTGTTTACTTTTTTCTGTCACAGTAAGACTGACAATCTAGGAGATGTGAGACTTATATAGTTTAGAGGGGAATGATAGCAATGCTCAAATCTTGGGACCTGAGGGATTCTGAGACTGAGTCATGTAACAGCCAGTGCTCTTTAGGGAGCACAAGTAAAGGCTCTTGGGCAATGCATGCCTCGCTGAATTTTCTACTCCACAGATTTTGATATTCTTACAAGTACAAATATATATATATTCATGTAGGGAGGCAAGGGAATGATAATTGGATAGAGATGGTCAGTATTTTGATTCTTCTCAAAACGGTTTTCACAAACTCATTGAATGTTTATAGATACATAATTTATAAGGCATGTTATTTGTATTTATCTCTGTAAAAATATATAACATTTACCAATTTAACATTTTTTAGGTGTACAATTTAGTAGTGACATCAGTTTCATTATGTTTTACACCTATCATCAATAGTTATCACAAGATTAGGATAACCATAAACAGAAAGTTTGTGTGTCTTAAACAATGAATCCACCATATTCTCCTCCTCTCACTTCTGAGAACCACTAAGAAACTCCAGTCTCTATATATTACCTACTCTAGTTATTCCCAATGAGTAAGGTCATACATTTTCCTTTGTTAATTGACATAGCTTGGTTCAGCTTGAAAATGCTTCAAAGGATCATCGATGCTTCAGCATTGATGAGGGCTTTATTTCTACTCAACCAGACTTTATAGGACAGCATAGAACTTCCCCTATATGTCTTCCAGGAATGTAATCTTTTTAGAAGCAAACAACCAAATCTTTTTCTTGTGAAGGGCTGGTGAGTTTGAATAATGTGCTTTTCAGTTAGCAGCTAAATGGTTAACTAGTGTGCCACTAGGGATTCTCATGTATTTGTAAAAAACTAAAACACTTCATTTCACTTCATGTCAGCTACAAATAGTCCCTCAATTTTTGAGACTCATTGTTGAAGTATTCAGAAGCATCTATATCCTTGTGGAAATAAACATTGATAGAAAGTTATATACCTTTATATAAGTTTAATCTGTATATTGAATTGTTGATCATTCATAATAACCACATATAGGGTTTCTGAGAATGTTCATCTTTGCTGGAGCAACCAGCAGCATCTTTCTTCAACTAAGTTGCTGGTGGATTTGAACAGCCCAACCTGTGTGGCTATCAGTCTAATGCCTAACCCACTGTGCCAACAAGGATTCTTTTTTTATGCTTTGTAGCAATGATTTTTATTTATTATTTACATTTTCTAAATGGTACTTTATTTACACACAAAATGTAGAGTTCATAATATTTTCTCATTCATATTTCTTTTAAGTACACTGCCTTACTCAGTTTCTTTGAGACTTTCCTGTACTTGACTGGGGATTCAAATGCTTCAACAGCTCACTTGCCCTTTGTTGATGCTGTTAGGTGCCACGGAGTTGACTCCGGTCCATAAAACTCTTATGCACCACAGACTGAAACACTGCCTGTTTCTGGATGATCCTCACAATTGTTCCTATGCTTGAGCCCATTGTCCCAACCGTTGTGACAATCAATCTCCTTCAGGGCCATCCTTTTTTTCAATTCAGCTCCACTTTACCAAAAGTGATGTTCTTCTGTAGGGATTACTCTCTTGACAATTGGTCAAGGATTCCTTACAGGGCTTAGGTGAAGAGCAAATGTTTTAAGAGTGTTGAGGGGAACCAATGTACAAAGGTGCTTTACACAATTGATGTATGTGTGGATTGTGATAAGAGTTGTATGAGCTCTTAATAAATTATTTTAAAAAAATCTTATCCCCTGATGTGAGAATCACTTTTTCTTTTTGTTTTTCCCTTATAACAATGGTGTCATTCAATGATGGTCTTTGTAATACTGACTAAGTTTTCTAAACATAATGCACTCTAGTTTTGTCCAATGCTTGGCATGGATAGATAGTTGTCATTGTATTTTGTTGATGCATAGTATTCCATTGTATGAAAGGACCAGAGTTTATCTAGCCATTCCTCTATAGATTTTTTTATTGTTCCATTTTATTTGCAGCTATGGAAATTGCCATAATAAATATAGATGTGCCTAAAAATATATCTATAAAAGTTAGCTGAAATGAGAACTTCTGTTTTTATAACATAATAACATTTAACTTCTGATTTTGAATTTACTTTTTAGAATCTTAGCATTACTGCATTTAATTCTGAGCTAAATATGTTGTATGACCCAATGGTATTTTTAATAACCTCATAAAAATCTGGACAATGAGAAATCTTCACAATGAATAAGGAAGAACAAATCAGAGTTGGAATTGGAGCATTTGAAATTATGATCTTGGCAAATAAGAATTTTAAAAATCTTCTAGGTAGAAGTACAATCAGACTGCCCCTTAAAAACAAGGCTAGCATGTAATTGCCTCACTTTGGATGGAATGTTATCAAGAAGGATTAGTGCTCGAAAAGTGCATCATGGTTGGTGATGTCAGGGCCAATGAAAAAAGAACCTCTATGAGGTGATTCCATATAGTGGCTGCATCAATGGGTTCAAACATGACAATAATCATAAAAATTGTACAGGATGTGACAGTATTTCATTCAGTAGTACATAGGATCTCTATGAATTGGAATGGGCTTCATGGTACCTTTAAAAACAAAACGTCATTGTTAAAATTGTTTTATTTATAGTAGCTAGAAAATCAAGGTTAAAAATAATATGCTTATGAGTGGGGGAGATATCACTAACACTCTTAATCATTGTGTCTGTCGGTAAGAAAATGAAGGATCATCTCAATTTTGTCTTCCAAAATAAATTATCTAAGCAGTCATCAACAAACACAATGTCATATATGTTTCCATATGTTTGCTTCTAAAGGCTTTTATAGTTTTCCATATAAAATGTAGATCTCTGCAATAGTGGGGAAGATGGCTGACTACTAGGTGGCTAACGCCCGGAGCTCTGAGGAGATCGGTGAGTGGGGAGAGTTGGGGGCGGAGTAGGGGTACAAAATTTGTCTGTTCGATTCTGAAGACCACACAGAGCATCTCTAGGACCCAGAGGTGGACTCCCACCCATAGCCAGGGCTTCACGCAGACACCCAGGGTCTGAGGTGAGGTGCTGCACGCACCCGCCTGGCAGGACCCATGCCACAAAGCGGCTAGGTGCACGGCAGAGGCTGAGCCCGACCACCTCGACGCTCCACGCAGAACCGCGTTAGGAGCCCCCACCCTGCTACAGGGAGCTGGGGCTCCTGTGTGTGATCCAACCAGCAGACCCGCCCCCACCCCCTGCCCACCAGGGCACCCCTCTCGGTCAAACAGGCCGGACCCCACCCCCCCTTCTCCCTGGAGGTGCGTGCCCGGCGCCACAGCTAGGCATAAGTTAGAGGCTGAGGACCTGCCTCTAGGCTCTGAGCAAACCGCCAATCAGACCTTCCTGTACTCTCAGAAAGCGCAGCCCAGAGGAGTGCGCCCCATCACTGCGCTCCTTGCAGATCTGCCAGCCAGCCCCCTCCCTGGGCCTCGCTGCTCACCCGCTCCCCTATCCACGTGCACGCCTGTGTCCGGGACACACACACACACGCACTCAGTGATCCACATCTTGCCACACCACTGCTGGCACAACTTTCTGCAGCTGCGGCATAGGAACCCAAGTGTTGGGTGGGGACTTTATCACTGCATTCTCCCTTCTCCCTGCTCACTCTGTCCCACCCTTTTGGCTCCAAGAGGTGCATTTGCACACTAGTCGCGGCCCCCCTCCCATCTGCCTACCTGAGGGACGTGCCCCTAGCCAGAAACAGATCACACAATGCCAAACCCATCCCCTAAATACACTCCTCTGCACTGGGGCCAATACTTTTTATCAGACCGCAGCTTGCACAGCTACAACCTCCCAAAGAGAGCTCAGGGTTCTGAGACACCGGGAAAATGGCACCAAGTGCGCACAAATCGAACAGGAAACAGCAAGTTGCTCCCACAGCGTCAACAAGAAAAGAGAAACAAAATTCAATGCCAGAGGACCACCTGGACCTAACAGCTGTCATAGAAAGGGCAGAGGTTGACCCCCCACAGAAAGAAATCTTCAGAATGCTGCTTGGAGCTATACAGGACATGAGGGAAGCATTACAGAAAAAGGATGAAATGATAGAGGAATTAAAGGCTATGCATCTAAAGGAAATACAGGAATTAAAGGGCGAGATATCAAAAACTAACAGCAAACTCACTGACTTCGCTCAGAGAATGGAGGAGGCTGAAACCCGCACCAGTGACCAAGAAGATTCACAAGCAGAAATTAATAATCATGAGAAAAAGTCTAACAAGTCCATCAGAGAAGCTGAAGATAACCTCAGAGCTATGTCTGATGCTATGAGAAGGAACAAGCTCAGAATTATTGGTATGGAGGAAGAATCCACATCAAGGAAACCAACATCCAAAATAGTGATGGAATGCTTAGAAGAAAAC